TTAGAAGAATTCAGTTAAAAATTTCTACCGTTATGGCAACTGAGGTGATGATTAATTACACGTACTCACGATGAAATTGTATAATTTCTTTCACAAATGACTAACATATTCAAACCAGCTTTTGCACATCAGAAAATAGTGTCATATAGAAATTTTAAAAAAGTGACTTTGTCACCTTCAGTCAATTATAAAATATGTCAGATTAGCCAATTTAACAAAGAGATTATGTACTTTATGTGAGCTTAACTCTTTGACTACAGAACTAAGTGCATTGCACCTACTATGTAACCATCAAAGTAAGCATGAAAGTAGTCATACTATAGCTTTTGATAATATGTTGATAATTTACATGTATCTTCACTAAATTTTGCATATTATCAGTAAATATTACAAGGCTTTCACACACAAGTTACCAAATCTTTTAATTAAGTATTAAGATATTTTAATTAAAGATTTGTTTGTGAATTATTTCTTTCAGACTGTTGACTATCTAACATGCAAAATAATTTTGATTCAAAGATTAAAATACCTTTCTTCATCTGAACATTGTCAAATTTCATTTACATAATCTCTATAACCTCCTAAATAAATATCAAATGTTTTTAAAAATTTTTATACCTTATCTGTTATTTCTTATACTGTATGTGGTTGGTCAATTTGACTAACCTTATAACCATTGTGAAAAAATTAGGAAATAAATCTAAATTACCATTTTTTTTCTTTCTAAGATGAATACAAATTGTAACAGAAAACCACAAATGTTTATTGTAAATAGCTTAAATCTCATTATAGTATGCATCTATATATCTATTTATATTCATAATTATTTTTTGTTTTATTGACCTTTGAACCATGTCTAACTAATAAGCCTGCTACACACGTTTTAAATTACACGGTGCATGTGCAGCTTGTGTTACTTTATCAAATACAATAAAACTGGCATCTACAAAGTAGAAATGTCTTACTCTTCTTAGTCATTGAGAATTATAGCGTTTGTTACAGAGCGGCTGTTGAAATTAAGTATATCGTAAAGTTGTATTCGGAAAGAATAAACCAGTTTTATTTAAGAAAGGACTTGTGTCACTAAAGTTTTGTCGGAACGAATTTACGGAAAATTAACTAACGACTGGAGGTGTAACAAATAAGTGTCAGAGAGTGGGACGAAAAAAAAAATGGAAACGAGAAGCGGTAAATCAAACTACAGCACAGCAGACTTGATGGCAGCAATACAAGAGAAGCAAAAGAAACAAAAAGAACGAGAAAATAAACAAGAAGAGGAGAGATTACAACAGTTGTTGGAGGAAAAAGAAAAGAAACAAGAAGAAAGATTACAGAAGTGGCAAGAAAACGTACAACAATGGCAGCTCGAACAGCAAAATAAAGAAGAGAGATTACAGCAGTTGTTGCACGAGAAAGACAATAAACAAGAAGAGAAATTACAGCAGTTGTTGGAGGAGAAAGAAAATAAACAAGAAGAGAAATTACAGCAGTTGTTGGAGGAAAAAGAAAAGAAACAAGAGGAGAGACGACATCAGTGGCAACTGGAACAAGAAAGGAAACAAGAAGTACAAACGGAAAAACATTAGTAAATTTAAAAGCGAATTAGATAAGTTAAAGGATGATTTATTGTCTTTTACACAAGGAGGATACATTAACCACTGACTTAATCAGCCCCAGACAATGGCAAGCCTTTTCCAGACCCTGCAACTAAATCCTAATGCAGACATCTTCAGCCCTGTTAGAAGTCACATCCAAGATATGAATGTCAGTAATAGGAGTGATCCAGTGCAAAGGAAGCCACAGGAATTCAATGGGAAGGCTCCGTGGGAAGCATATAGAGCACAGTTTGAGCTACTGGCAGAAAAAGAATAGCTGGACACAGGAGCAGAAAGCAGTATATCTGGCAACAAGCTTGAAAAGACAACCACTGGAAATACTTGGACAGTTGTCAGCAGACTACAGACACAACTATAGAGCACTGGTAGCGGCTCTAGAACTCGGGTACGGAACCCAAAATCAGTCAGAAGTCTACAGGGCTAGGTTTAGGACGAGAGTCCGTGCTAAGGGGGAGAGCCTGCAAGAGCTGGCACAAGATTTGGAAAGCATGGCACACAAGGCCTACCCAACTGCACCACCCGATCTCCTCAAGTTGTTGCTGAGGGATCAGTTTGTAGATGCCTTGTACAATCCACAACCGAAGATACAAGTGAAGCAAGCACACCCTTCTATCATGCAGGATGCAATGGCCAGAGCTCTCGAATTTGAATCCTACATTAAGTCCAGCACAGAGGTACCGAGATTGATACAG